CAGCGGGCGCCAAAAACATATCGTGGGTGTCCCTAATTCTTCCTTAAGTGATAAAAAAGGGGATTTCCTGTGGAAAATATAAAAAAACAAGCTCCATCATGTGAGATCTACTTTCTCTTTGCCGTGGTCTTTTTTCTTCCTGCTGCCTTTCGGGACGGAGCTGAAATGGGTTGGGTCCTCCTAACTGCATGGATAATTGCCACTTCAGGTAAGAAAAATCTCTTAAATTCACAAAAAAAAAAACAATCGAATACAAACCAGAGTCCTTCCTACTAGGGATTTTTGATAAGCAAATTTCCAAAAAAACTAAATACATAACAATACACATTTTAACAGCGGCCAGATTAGCCTTCGCTCAACATTGGAAACAACACCAAATTCCATCAGAAGAAATGATTATTGAAAAAATCTCAAGATGCGCAGAAATGGATAAATTGACTTTGGCGCTAAAAAACAAAGACACTTCACTATACTATGACAGCTGGAATTGTTGGTATAATTGGATTGACCAAAGATAAATAATATATTATAAGGCATAAAAGGAAAGTACCAATACATAACAACGAGGTAGCGATATAAGTTAAAAACAGGTGTGGTTATATGACACAAGTTAAGGTGATGAAAACAAAAGAAGATCTTGCAAACTGTTAAATAAGAATACTTTTAATCCTGTAACCTCTTTCTTTCTTTTCTTAAAATTCTTTCCCTCTCTTCCTCTTCTCTTTTCTTTCTTTTCTTTCTTTCTTTCTTTTGCTTATTTGTGTATGTATTGTGACTGGTTTTAATTGTAAAAATTAATAAACTATATTTAAAAAAAAAAAAAAAAGAAGAGACTGGACTCCTATCTGTCAGAAATGGTGTAGGGTCTCCCGCTTGGGTGCGGGGTTGGACTAGATGACCTCCAAGGTCCCTTCCAACTCTGTTAATTTGTTAAGGATTTAGGAGGATGGGGAGTGACTCCCGTGAACTGCACCTTGGTTGAATATAGAATAAGGAGGTCGCTAGGATGATGACGATCAATGGGAGCTTCTTGAAACGGTCTGTGGTCTTCTTACCTTCTGGAGAACATAGAATAACAGAGTTGGAAGGGACCTTGGAGGTCTTCTAGTCCAGCCCCCTGCTTGAGAATATCATCCCAGTCAAATGGTTGTCCAGCCTCTTCTTTAAAATCTCCAACGATGGAGCACCCAACAACTTCTGGAGGCAAGCAGTTCCACTGGTTAATTGTCTTCAATGTTAGGAAGTTTCTTCTTAGTTCTAAGTTGCTTCTTTCTTTCATGATCTTTCACCTGTTATTTCTTGTCCTGCCCTCATGTCTTGGTCTAAGACAAGGAGTTAACAGCTTTCCAAAAAATGCTAACAGAGTTGGAAGGAACCTCGGAGGTCATTTAGCCCAACCCCCTGCCCAAGCAGGAGACTGTATACTATTTCTGACAGATGGCAGTCCAGTCTCTTTTTTTGAAATATTTTTTTAAAATTTTTATAACAACAACAAAAACAAACAAATAAAACCTTTCTGTTCATCAGTGTGTTAGTTGGGTACACTTTTCTTTTCTGTGCACATAATACCATTATCATACATATTTTACATATATATATATATATATTCTTAAGTTTTCGTGGGTACTTACGTGTGTGTGTGTGTGTGTGTGTGTGTGTGTGTGTGTGTGTGTATATATATATATATAATCCTTCTAATCACTATTTTATATCACATATACCACTTATTATATTAGCCTTAACATTATGTTTATTACTTTTCAATAATATATTTCACATTCATTTTCTTACTCTGTCTAACTCATTCATTTATCAGTAATAAATATTCCATTTCTGACAAGTGGCAGTTCAGTCTCTTCTTGAAAGCTTCCAGTGATGAACTTCTGAAGGCAACTTCTATTCCATGGGTTCACACTGTCAGAAAATTCCTCCTTATTTCCAAGTTGAATCTCTCCTGGATCAGTTTCCATCCATTCTTCCTTCTCTGGCCTTCAGGTGCCTTGGAGAATAGCTTGACCCCCTTTCTCCTCCTCTCTGGGGCAGCCCCTCAAATATTGGAAGATGCTCTCCTGTCTCCCCTGGTCCTTCTCTTCATTAGACTAGCCAAGCCCAGTTCCTGCAACCGTTCATCATATGTTTTGTTTTGGTTGGACTAGAACACCACTGAAGTCCCTTCCAGACCTATAATTCTACCTTTCTTCACTGGATATATTTAAGCTGGAGTTGGAGACTGGACTCAAGATGAGGTCTTCGTAATGTAGAATATACCTTGATGTGTAGATATATGTATTTTTTTTTCTTGTAGGTCTATGCATGTCGAGGGCCTACACACCAACGCAGGTGTTAGGAGTTGTGGGGAGCTCGGCTTTATTCAAAGTAGCCCCCCCTCCCAATTTTCACATCCGGGAGTTCTTCTGGAGTTCTTTGCAGCCTTCCGAAGAGTTGGTAGCCACTTCGCTCAAGGGAAGCCCAGAGATCCAGTACCGGTCCCGTTTCTATGGAAGGACTCGACTCCACGACAACTTCACCTTAGAGATCAATCCAGTGGATTTAGAAGATGCTGGGAAGTTCTCCATTCTCCTGGTGGACACCACAGGACATATGCAAAAACAAACTTTTGAGCTGAAGGTTTACGGTACGTGCTATCCAAAAAGAAAAGCCATGTCTGTTTATTAATTTGTTTTTATTTTTTTTAATTTTGGTTGAAATAAGGACCTGTTTTTTTATTTCTTCATTCCCTTCCTATCCAGCATCTCCAAACTGGATTATCCCATCGCAGTGAATATTTTGCAAATGTTTTTATCCCATTCTTAATTCAAATAAGGAGTACAGTACTCCGCCCTGATGAGAACAGTGTTTCTCAACTTTAGCCACCTGAAGTTGGGTGGATTTCATCTCCCAGAATTCCCCGTGCTGGGGAATTCTGGGAGATGAAATCCACCCAACTTCAGGTGGCTAAAGTTGAGAAGCAATGGGATTCGAAGTTCTTTGAAGATCATAGTTCTGTTAACTAAGGAGAGAACGTAAAAGTTGCATTCATGTCATATGCAAAACTTGGTTGATATATCATCTTGGTTAGCTTTTGCAGAGGGCAGGTCTTAATGTGAGATAGCAGCTAGATTAGTTTCTGGATAAGTTTGGTGAGTAGAACCAAGGACCTTTCAAAAAGCAGTCACAGGCTACCTTGCATCAAACTGGATTTAAACATTTAAAATTTATTGTTTAAAAAATGATTAAAATATCTGGAAGACAGCAGCATTTTTCCCTGGCATCAAGAAGACATTAGCACAGAGTCAATTATGCGTCATTCTTCAAGGGTTGTTTTCTTCATGTTGCAAGAGTCAGGAATTTTTGCCCCTAGCACTTCACTTCGTTTGGCTTTTTACTTTGCTTCTTATTTTACGTTGCTTTACTTTATTCTACATCGCTTTATTTTACTTTTTTACTTTATTTTACCTTGCCTTTTTTCATATTACAATGCTTTTTATTTTCTTTTACATTGTTTTACTTTATTGTACCTATTTTATTTTGCATTACTTCAATTTTAAATTATCGTTTTATATTATTTCATATAGCTTTTGCTTTATTTTACCTCTTTTGTTATTTTACTTTATTTTATTATTGTATTTATACTGTAATTTATTTTATATTTTGATTTGATTTGATTATATTTTATTATTTTAGTGTGTTGTGTTGTGTTCTGTTGTATGCATGAAACCAAAGAAGAAAATGTCCTAGAATGCATATGGGTCAACATAAAAGAAAAAAAGAATTTAATGGCCATAGGCCACTCAACCAAAGAGAAAAAAATAGATGACCTTTTTGTCAACCAACTAACAAACATATGCAGGAAACACCCTACAATAGTAATGGGGGACTTCAATTATCCTGATATCAATTGGAAAATTAATTCTGCACCAAGTGAGAAATCAAATAGGTTTCCTAACCAACCTAGCAGACAAGTTTGTTGTCCAAAAAGTAGAGAATGGAACCAGAGGGACAGCCAAACTGGACTTAATTCTTACAAACAGAGAAGAAGTGATAGAGGGAGTTGAAACTGCAGGAACCGTGGGCGAGAGCGACCACGTCATACTAGAATTCAAACATAACACAAACACAAGCAACAGAACATAATGACACCGGTCTTAGATTTTAAAAGAGCTGATTTTAATAAATTCAAAGAGAACTTGGGGAAGATTCCAGAAATGGTGTAGGGTCTCCTGCTTGGGCAGGGGGTTGGACTAAATGACCTACAAGGTCCCTTCCAACTCTGATTATCTGTTATCTATTATACGTTATCTGTATTGTATTGTATAGTGCATTGTATTTGAGTTGTATATTGCATTGTATTTGCATTGTATTTGTGTTGTGTTGTGTTGTGTTGTGTTGTGTTGTGTTCTATTCTATTCTATTCTATTCTGTTCTGTTCTGTTCTGTTCTGTTCTGTTGTTAGGACAAGCCTACCTGAGACATGAGAGCCAGTGAAGGGAATAAAATATTATTACCCCTTCCCCACATTGCCCACTCCCATGATTTTTTGCCTCTCTCTTCTTCCAGATACGATTTCAAACCCAGTTATTCAGGTGTTCACCGAAGCAAAGGACCTCAATGGCTCCTTCGAAACTTGTCTCGTTTTCTTGACTTGCCACGCAGCCAGCAGGACTAACGTCACTTACGAGTGGGCAGGGCTGGGGGGTAAGACCGGCCCTAGGCCGAAGCATTGGCTGATGGAGGCGGGCCAGGTGCTACGGACCAAACTGGACCCCAAGGAAGCTCTCCAGGTGACCTACACCTGTACGGCCTCTAACGCCGTCGTCCACAAATCAGCGACCGTCGAGCTCCGTGACTCCTGCCAACAACCTTCAGGTATGTGACCAATTTGAAGGTTAGAATTCAATCGGTCAGAATAGAGCTGGAAGGGACCTTCAAGGTCTTCTAGTCCAGCCCTTTGCTCCGTTAAGTGGCTGTCTAGGCTTTTCTTAAAAACCTCCACTGATGGAGCACCCGCAACATCTGAAGGCAAGCTGTTCCACCGGTTAATTGCTCTAATCATCAGGAAATTAGAACATAGAATAACAGTGTTGGAAGGGTCCTTGGAGGCCTTCTAGTCCAGCCCCCTGCTCAAGCAGAACCACCTATACCCGTGATGGCAACGCAGAGTCATTTGTGCCGGCACGCGAGCCGCAGGCAAACTTACCTCACCGCACATGCGCGCGCCTCACAACTGATTTTTTGGCTGGTTTGAGGCCTTTTTTGGCTTGAAAAAAGCCTCTGCAGGCTTTGTAGGTCGGACAATCGGCCCGTTTCATCACTTCCTGTAATACTGGAAGTGACTAAATGGGCCTATTATTCGGCATGCAAAAGCCTGCAGAGGATTTTTTTCAAGCCTCTGGGAGGCCACAAAAGGCCTCAAACCAGCTGAAAAATCAGCTGTGAGGCGCAGTGCAGGAAAGGGGGTGGCGTGGGGGGGATTGTGCGCACATGCGCACTAGGCATGGGGGGGTATGGACATTGCCTTCTGGGTGCTGGCACGCGAATGCGCAAGCACAACTTTTGGCACAGGAGTCCCAAAAGGCAAGCCACCACTGACCTATACCATTTCAGACAAGCGATTAACCTGAATCCCATTCCCCAACCGGCCCCTTTTGCAAGATACTGGGATTATGAGGTAGTCCTCAATTTAACAACCGCGACGGACCTCAAACTCTCTTTTTTTTTTCTAAGGGAGATAATTCAGTGAGTTTTGCCCCCTTTTACGGCCTTGCTCAGCGGGTCGATGCAGTGGTCACGTTCGTGACGCTGTCATTCAGTGGCATCTGGCTTCGCTGGTCCGACGGTCACAAAAGGGGATCACATGTCATGACCGCTAGAAACTGCAACCATCATAAATGTGAGTCTGTTTGCTGAACACTCCAGTTTTGATCCTGGGGATGCGGCCACGGTTGTAAGTGGGGGGAAATGGTCCAAAGTCACTTTTTCCAGCGCTGTTGTAACTTCGAAAGGTCACTAAATGAGCTGTTGTTAAGTCAAGGACTGCCTCTGACTCTCCGTGCCCAAGAAGATCTACACGGACAGCCAAATTGTTCTTGGAATCTCTGGATTGTTTTTTCCTTCCCTGCTTTTTTCATTTGATTATCGTTGAATTTGTTTCCTTTAAAATCTCCTGTGTGGCATTTTGCTTTCCGAGGTGGAGATGGGGGAAGAACGCATTTGGAAGTTGCTCTGAGCATGCGCAAAGGGCCTCTTCTCCTTACCCTTCAGCATAGGGGGCGAGTGGCGGTTTTTCCAAGCAAGGCATCTGTTCATTAAGAAGGATGCGTCACCCAACCCAGCTTTGCTCTTCTGCAGTGCTCAACATTTAAGACAAGTTGACGGAGATTGTAATTCTTACAGCAATGAAAACAAAAACAAAAAACAGGATTGTCTTTGATTAGAGTTTATAATAATAGTTCATATTCTGGTTAGTAAGAATATGCCTTGTTGTTATTTATAATAAGTATAGTAAAAATCCACACTTGGAATACTACATCCCATTTTGGTCACCACAATAATGAAAATGATGTTGAGACTCCGGAACGAGTGCAGAGAAGAGCAAGAAAGAGGATTAGAGGAGGATTGGAGGCTAAAACATACAAAAAACGGTTGCTGGAATTAATAATAAATAATAATAAAAAGAAGCCCCAGGGGAGACAGGATAGCAGTCTTCTAATATTTGATGGGCTGCCCCAGAGAAGAGGGAGGGGGTCAACCTATTTTCCAAAGCACCAGAAGGCAGGACAAGAAGCAACGGATGGAAACTAATCAGGGAGAGAAACAACCTAGAATTAAGGAGATACGTTCTAACAGTGAGGGCAATTAACCAGTGGAACAGCTTGCCACCAGAAGTTGTGGGTTCTCCATCACTGGAGGTTTTTAAGAAGAGATTGGACGACCATTTGTCTGAAACGGGATAGGGTCTCCTGCTTGAGCAGGGGGCTGGACTAGAAGACCTCCAAGGTCCCTTCCAACTCTTGTTATTCTGTGTTCTCCAGAAGGTGAGAAGAAGACCGCACACAGTCTCAGGGAGCTTCTCTTAATCATCATCCCAGTGGCCTCCTTCTTCTTCTTGCTGGCTGTCCTTTCGTGCGTGTGCTACAAACAGCACTCCGGTAAGTAGCCGTTCCACTGATGAACAGTTCTTCCTGTCAGGGGATTTCTCCTTAATTCTAGGTTGGATCTCTCTTTGATAAGCTTCCATCTGTTGCTTCTTGTCCTGCCCTCAGGTGCTTTGGGGAATAGGTTGACTTCCTAATCTCTGTCACAGCCCCACAAATATTGGAAAACTGCTATCGTATCGCCCCTAATCCTTCCCTTCATTAAACTACACCAGGCGTCGGCAACCCTTGGCTCTAGAGCTGCATTTGGCTCTTTCATCCCTCCGCTGCGGCTCCCTGTCGCCGGTCGGCACCACAATTGAGAGGGCTTTTGGTTAGGACAGGTGGAGGAAAAAGGTTGCCATGCTGGGAGGAGACCCTAGGGTGGGGGAACTGGACTTCTGGTTAGCTCCAGAATTGAATGGGTGGGTGGGTGGGGCTTCCGGGTTAAGACCTTTGTGGCTCTTTGAGTGTCTAAGGTTGCTGACCGCTGGACTAGCCGTATCCAGTTCCTGCAACCGTTCGTATGTGTCGACTCATAAAACATTCCTAGGCCTGTTTTGGGAGTTGCCATTAAAAAAATAGGGGTGGAGGGAGGAAATGTGGAAGATCAGTGAAGCCGTTCGGAAGCAAAAGTACATTCCAAATTTTAGCTTTAAAAGGTTGTTAACTAAACTACCAGAGCTTCTGCCTGCGAATATATTTAATTGGAAAACATGAATGATGACACCCAGCCTGTGAAGGTGCTCAGTTGGAGAATTTGTCTCAGCCGGTCCTTGAGTATTGAAAATTTGTTTTTCAATGAATCCAAACTCCAGCTCCTCTTTAGGACAATGACGGTTTATTCAATATATCAGCGAACAACAAATACTCTAAGCAGCCAAGAATGGCTAAAAGCCAGCCAAGGTTAGTGTTGGGTTTGAGTCTGCTCTCTTTCCTTTTATTGTCATTATCATGAGACACATCCGCACCACACCCAGGCCTATATGCAGTTCTAGGCCTGGCCACGCCTAACCTATTATCCCTAAATGCTCTTAACCCTATGTCTACATCCCTATGCTATTCCAATCCTCACTAACTGTTCTCCACCTTCACCATGTCTTAACTCAATGCTTAATTACCACCTATATGGCACAATAGCCCCCTCTAACAATACACACCATTCATCAATACACGAAAAAGCCATTTCCAGCCCCGCAGCTGCTTCAGAATCCGTCCTTTAGCCTGCAGTTGCTTCAGAATCCATCCTGCAGCTCACAGCTCTGCCGGGTCATTCTAAAGCAACCTTCAACACCCTCAGCTAGCACACAAGCAGCAATACAGATCCAGCGTCAGCAGAGCTAAGGTGATATTCTCCACCGCCAGATGACTTGCGTAGCAAACTCGGAGCCCGACAATCTGGTTTATGAGACCCCCGGGGGGGAGGGGAAAGAGGGTCACAGGGTCCTGTGAATGATGTAGGCCAGAGTTGGCTTCATACAGGGCAGGGCCAGTATGTCGCCTCTCATGAATCCTTTGAAGGTTTTTGAAGTTTGGCTCGAGAATCATGATTGAATGAGGGCGATTGCTGGAATCCTGACAGTATGGTTTATTCTCCAGTCCCCCTAATCATCTTTGTTGCTCTTCTCAGCATCCTTTCTAGAGTCGCAACATCTTTTTATTTTTTTAATTGTGGTGACCAAAACTGGATTCCATATGGGGCCTCAGTGATGCCATATAAAGCGGTATAAGCATTCATGTAAAAATATCTTATGCACCAAATGTTAATATCTTTTTATAGGGAAGAAAATGTTCTACAGAGTTCCCGGAAATGAATCAATCCAGCTTTAGCAGACGGGAAACATGGATCTTCCTCGGGTTATTCAGGCTGAGAAGGTGGAAGGAGTTTTGCTGGGGGAAAATTCCCTTCTACCTCTCAGAGAACTGAAGATTGTCCTTTGGGTCTCGATACTACAACTCCCAGAGTTCCCCAGACAGCACAGCTACCACTGAGAATTCTAGGAACTTGAAGATTGTCCTCCGGGTCTGGATACTACAACTCCCAGAGTTCCTCAGGCATCTGGGTACTACAACTCCCAGAGTTCCTCAGGCATCTGGGTACTACAACTCCCAGAGTTCCCCAGCCAAGACAACCCCTTCTGAGGATTCTAAGGAACCAAAGATTGTCCTTCAGATCTGCAAATTACAATCAATCAAAGCTTGATTAGTCACAGACCAGTTGTGTAGTTGTGAACTACAATTCCCAGGTTTTCCCAACCAGCACAGCCGCTGCTGAGAATTTTGGGAGCTGGAGACTGCCCTTCAAATCTGAACACACAATCTTTTAATTGCTGAGCCAAAACCTTTAGCAGTTCCTGTTTTGTTTTAATCAGCTGCAAGGCAAATAAATTACTATTTTTAAAAGGAATAAACCTCTCTCTCTCTCTCTCTCTCTCTCTCTCTCTCTCTCTTTCTCTCTCTCTCTCTCTTTTCCTGGGAAGCTGGCTGGGGAAATTCCTTTAAGATCCCCAACCTTGGGACTTTTACAAAAGGAAATAGATAGTTTCATGCGCTCACTTTCATTTTTGAGTTTTGCAATATTCACTTTTAATTTCCAAAGGTCAAATAAACCCAGTTGTTGTTTTTAAAAAAGCTTCATTTTCTGGTTGCAAAATAGCACCATCTACTGGCTTTAAATAAGGAATTTGCAAACTTTTTTTTTTTAAGAAAGTATCTTTTCATTTAAGACCTGCTAATGATTGGATCCCAAACTAGTTCTCCATTTATGACCAGAACTGGGACCAGAATTTTCATCACTAAAGCAAAGCAAGTCATGCACAATTTTACCTCTTTTCTTGCCACGGTTGTTAAGTGAACTACTACAATTGTTAAGTGAATAACTACAGTTGTTAAATGAATCTGGTTTCCTCCAGGGTGGTTTGCTTGTCGGAAAACAGTTGAAAAGATCGCAAAGGGTGATCCTATGGCCCTGAGACACCCAACCTGTTCTCAGCAAGGCTTCCGAGACCGTAATTACGCACACGCTTAATTAAAACAACTCTTGTTTTATTTCAACGCTGGGAATTATGTTCATTCCCAGCCGGTCACGAGTCCCAAAGAGTCCCTCGAGATAAGCACCCACCTTTCTCTCCTTTGAATGGCTGCCAACAACTAAAGTGCCAAATGAACTGAAAAAGAAGCCAACCGAAGTACAAAGTCGACACAGAGCTTCAAGGATTAATCTGAACCGAACGAACGACTTTGCTTCCTGCAAAGGTTTCTTCATCTTTGCCTGTCCTTTATACCATATGGGAGGAGCAATCACCTCCCAGCCTTACTCCCAAGTTTCCCCTTTTGTCTCAGCTTCTTGCCTTCCAGCAGCTCTGCGCACACACACACTGGGAACAGGCTCCCTTTGCTCCTCTGCCTCGCTGCTGCCAAACTCCAGAGGCTCCAGAGTCAGCACACGGCTCCCAGATGGTCCTGGCCCCATCTCTGCATTGGACGCAGGACCCTCGTCCGAGTCCTCTCCAGACTGCCAGACTGGTCCCTGTTCTACCCCACTGTCCAATTCCGCTGCCATCTGCACAGGCTGCCGGAGACCCACAACACAAACATGACAAATACATATGACTATTGCAAAAAAACCGGGACATTCATATGGGCCATTTTACAACCATTATGAACTTTAATAAGCAGGCACCTTTATGGTCCTAACTCGAGGACCACCTGTACAGACTTCACACCCTGCATCTCGGATTTTTGAACCACGTCCTGCAGATGTTCTTCAAAGGAAGGTAGACTAAAATCCAGAATTTCTTTCAAAAAAAAAATGATACATCGAAATATGAAGCTGGAAACGGACTGGAATACCTCTTAAATGTAAAGTCTGAAGCTGTTTTGCTTGCTGGCCAATATTTTCAGTTGGTTCTGTTTCGCTGGGGTGATATCTGTGGATTTCGACCTAGGGAGGAAAAGCAGAAATCTGACTTTGAAAATATATATATATTTTTTTTTTATAGAGGCATGATCTGGAGAGTGTTTGAACAAACTGCATCCCTGTTTGGTTTAGTGGCAGCAGTGCCTCAAATAGAAAGTCCATAAAGAGAGTGGTGAGGACAATGGAGATTATAGGAAGAGCGGTCAGGACAATGGAGAAGGTTATAGGAAGTTGGCTTCCCGTTATTCGGAATACTGCTTGTAAGCGCTATGTGCTTAGAGCTCAGAGCATCGTTAGAGACCCCACACACTCACTTCAGGGTCTGTTTCTGTTGCTCTCCTCTTGAGGAGGCGTTTCCAAGTATATGTAGCAGGACTACTACATTCTGGAACAGCTTTGTACATTAGGTCTTGTAAACTACATTCAAACTAGATTGTGAGGTTTCTCTGTGTCATATGTGTGTGGGGGAGTATATGTATAATGTTTTATCTTTTGAGAGCTGAATGCAATGAAATTTCATTTTAATGTATGTTGATTAGCGTACATTTGAAGGGACAATAAAGTTCTATTCTATTTTATTATTCTGTTCTACTCTACTCTATTCTATTCTACTATTCTATTCTCTGTTCTATTTCTATTATCCTATCTACCATATCCTATGCTAAATTCCATCCTATTCTAAATTCTATTCTAAATTTTATTCTATTTTATCCTAGCCTAGCCTAGCCTAGTCGCAATGGTCGTAAGTGTGAAAAAACGGTCATAAGTCACTTTTTTCAGTGCCCTTTAACACCAAATAAACCAATGGTTATAAGTTGGGGACTACCTATAATATGCGTGTGAGTTTTTCCCCATGATCCTGCAAGATTTCTTCACAGCGGCCTGCAGATCAAGGTTCCGCCAGCCATACCCCCCAAAGCACGGGAATCTTGAGGACTAGTAACTTGAGGTGTTTTTATATGCCTGTGGATTTTTTTTCCCCCTGTAGTCCTACCTGATCTCTTGAACAGCACACACAGATCCAAGTCCCGTCAGCCAGGCATGGCCATCTTGAGGGCTGGAAACTTGAGATGTCTTTATACCTGGGGTGGGCTTTTTCCTAGGATCTTACCTGATCTCTTGAAGAGAACAATGCGGGATGAGATCACAAAGGTCTGTGAGTGGATTTCCACACAAATCTAGGCTGACCAAGCTGGTGTTTCCAGCGAGAGCAGAACCCAGCGGCTTGCATGAGGCATCCGATTAAGGCATTTTCCCGTAATCTGTGGCAGAGAATAACAAATTTAAGTTCACGATAAATTCTTCCCCTGATGAAAAAGAGTTTTATTTAAGCCCACCCTTCTTTGAAAAACATGGGACTCCAGCCAGGGTCTTTCTGTCCTTGGAACCGTATCTTGTGGCTTGCCAGTGGCCAGTAGAGCTGGTGGCCGATTCGGACAGTGAAGAGGCTGGGGAGGAACCTGGGCCAGTCCTGGAGTCTGGGGAAGGTTGACAAATACTCTGCATCGGAGGCAGAAAGGGATCCGGGGCCATCCGACAGTTATCAGCTGCCTTCGGAGTTGGACATTAGTGAGGCGGAAGAACAGCTGGAGCCTGTTCCCAGTATGCGCATGCGCAGAGCTGCCATTCTTTTCTCTTCCTTTTTTTTTCTTTTTCTTCCTTCCTTTTTTCTTTCTTTCTTCCCAGTTTTCCTAAACCTATATTTCTTTCTTTCCTTCCTTCCTCCTCTTCTTTCTATCGTTTTCTTCCTTCCTTCTTTTCCTTTCTCACTTCGTGGAATGACAGATGAACAATTCACTGTAGAATTGCTTGGGCATTCCAGGAATCATGGTAAAAAAAAAAAGTCTCTAGCCCACAAGGTGCCTAAAAATCCAGCACACTAAGTTTTTTTAAAAAATTAAAGAAGGTGGAAGGAAGCTGGGAGCTGCCACATACCTTTTGAAAAATACAACACAATCCAACCAGCGTGGCTTTTATTCTAACGCTGGCCAACGTTGTACCATCTAGCCTGCACTGTGTCCTCGATCAATCCTGAGTGAAATATCCATCAGGAATTTTTTAATATTGCTAAACCTAATTCCCAGACAGCCTATCCAAGTTACTTATTAATAACTAATTGGATATCCATGCTTCGCTATGAAACTATGTGGCCGGGCTTAGTTTTTTGGGGAGAAAAATAAGGGGAAAATATTCTGCCTCTGCCTGCCAGCATCCATTGGTATTCATCTGGCTAGAGTCCTGTCAGTGTGTTGGAGAGTTGGTGGCTGTTTGGAAACTGAAACAGTATTTGCTATGCGAGCAAGGAACCTGGGCGTGGCTTAGCTCAATTGTTCTGTACTAAAGCTTCTTGCTGCTGTGAAACTAAAATTGAACCTCCTCTCCTCTGCTTGTGTTTTGCATTTGGAAGAGATTTCTTTTCAGGTGGGGAGGGGAAGTAGAACTCCTTAGCATCAGAGCGTGTTAATAATAATAATATAGGAAATAGTAACGCTCTGATGGTCTTTTTGAAAAATCCTTTCTTAGTGAGCCCCTAGAAGCCAAGAGGAACATATGTGCCAGATTTCAAGTTTGTAAGCTTTACGGTTCTGGAGATTTTGTGATGATATTAGGTCAAACATCATTTACCTTCAACCAAACAAACGAAAACATAAAACACAGCACGCCAAAGTCAATTTCATTGCTGTTGTCGTTATTATTATTATTAAATATGCATTCCAAACACACAAAGGAAAAAATATTTTGCAGTTAACGTGACCCAAAGGACCTTTTCCCCCTCCCAAACTCAAAAGGATCCAGAATATGATGGCATTTTCTGAGAAGACCGTTAAATTACCTGAGGCTCTCAAGCCGACACATTGAGGACGTTTTAATGCAGAAATGAGATGGTTCGCTGCTGAGTCTTTCAAGCAATTATCTTGAAGGCTGTGAGAAAACAGGCAGAGAAATTAGCCAAACAAGGAATGAAAAAGTGCCCGTCCAGCTTTTTGAAAGTGCAATATCCAAA